GGCAGCATAAAGTCCTAGATCACGCGATGGAACGCGCACCCTGCGTACCCGAACCCCTTCTCGCCGGTGCACAGGACCCGAAAGTTCTCCGCCGTTTTCGGCACCGCCTTTCCGAACAGGCCAAACTCGATCCGCCCCTTATCCTCGCCCCCGATGCTGATATCAAAGTAGACCGTGTTCGTCACCGCCGGGCCGTCTGCCGCCGACGTCGTGGTCGTCCTCCTCAAAACGCCTGCGGGGAGCCGCGACTGACCCCCGCCGACGCGGCCCGCCGCACGCACCGGCCGCAGCCCGTGCAGCGCGCTCGTGCGCGAGCTCGCTACCCGGGCCCCGCGCGAGACCAGCGTAAAAGCGCCGGAGACAAACGCTGCCATTGCTGTTGATGTTAGAGCGTTGCGGAGGGAGGGGGGTGGATCGGTAGGGGATGGATTGCTGAGGGATGGATTGCTGAGGGATGGGGTGGAGAGTCGCCGTGGGGATCAATGGGCACAAATTGATGCGATCGGGGGGCGATCGGGGGGCGATCGGGGGGCGTTCTGCAGGGAAGGGGAGAGGAGAGATGCGATGAGCACGAGTGAAAAAAGGCAATCTCCACGAAAAAGCTCAAAACTTTCAATCTCGAAATCTCGAAATCTCTCTGCCCGATGCACCAAAGATTGTAGTATAAATTCATACTATGAACCCAAAGATTGTTACAGTACCCAAGCAAGGGTACATTACAGTATGAACAGTGCTGTATGTAAATCTTTACAGTAAACTGCGCATGGTGTACCTACTACAGTAGCACCACTGGTACTACCTTCAAGGTACAGTAGGCGGCGCCTACTAATAGGCCCCATCGATAACGCAAATGCACAAAAAGACGGGGGCTTCAACTGCACCTGTTGCATCTCTTCAATGGCACCTTTGTATGCGTTGCACTGTTGGAGGCATTGATTTAGGAACAAGGTGATGTCAATTCTCGCAAGAAGGCCATGCCTGTAGAAAAAGAAATTACTCTACCTACAGCATCATACAAAATCTTTATCACTTGCCCGACTTGCACCAGTGTTCAAGCAAAGGGCTTTCGAGGTGCATGTGGCCTTGTCCTCATTCACATCTTAAGTCCCAGAAAAATCCACGTACATCTGAAAGCATATGCACTTCCAGTCTATACTTTTAATTATTAGAAAACAAGTTACTGATCATTAGTTTACGTACCCGTGGCAATCGACATCGAAACTGACGCCAGTACGGTACAAGTCTTTCACTTTTGTTTCACAAGCGACCCTGTCCTCATCCACTTAGACGATAACTGCACCGGAGGGAGCAATCTGCGCAAGACGATCAGCCCCATTCTCCAAAGCAGAGCTAGACATTCCAGTGAGACTGAAGATGGCGCGCACCGGAAGAAGGAGAGAGTGCGCTGTCTTTGCTTCAACAGCGGTGGTGTACGTGGAGGCAACCACACCGTCGACAACGATATCACCCTGGACGGTCTGGGGGTTGTACAGACCGGTTTCGGAGATTTCAGAGACGGATGACACAGTCGACGATCCGTTCTCGGTCATCACCACATCACCAGCACGGATAGACTTGGCGGCAGCGAGCTGCCCGTTGACATAGAGGTAATGGCCCTTGGTGAGCGAAAGAGAGTGACCAGAGACGGTGTTGAACCGCACGAAAGAGTAGTCTACACCGGCGTTCTTGTGCGTAAACATGAAGACCGACGAGAACTGGTTGGCCCCGACCTTGACGCGGTCACCGATCTCGATCTGGTCCATGCGCTTGACGGAACCGTTCTCAAGCTCAACAGTGGCTGAGGCGGGGAAGCAGACAGAATCACCATCATCATCATCATCGTCATCCTCCTCAGATTCGACAGGCTCCTCAGATTCGACAGGCTCCTGAATCGCAGGCCCCTGAATCGCAGGCTCCTCAGTGCTCGATGCGCCCTCGGCGTCGCTGTTACTCTCGTCGGAGGTGATACTTTCGACTGCAGCAGCTCCGACACCAGCAGCGCCGACACCAGCAGCTCCGATACCAGCAGCAGTGACACCAGAGTCGGAATCGGAATCGGAATCAGAATCAGAATCAGAGCCCTCAGCCATGTCTCCATCGTTCATGTCTCCTTGGTCCATATCGCCGGAAGATCCGGCTCCAGCCTCCATGGTGCCCTCCGGCGCTTCGGAAGCTTCTTCAGTATTCGAGCCAGCGTTGTTCGGAATGCCAATGACGCGGTCAGCGTATTTAGCAAAATATGTGCAAGGAGTCGGGGAGGTGGGTTCGTACACAATCATGTACTTCGCACCCGGGTAGAGGGTGATGAGGTTAGGGATTTTGATCTTCTTCTCCTCCTCAATGAAAAAAGCCATGGTTTTAGCGTGGGTCATGGAGGGACCGCACTGGCGGTCAGTTCGCTCGACACCGAGCATGAAAGTGGCACCCTGAGATTCGAGGGCATCGAAAACGTTCTTAAAAGGTTCCTGCTTGAGGATAGAACCGATTTCAGATTCGACGACAGCTTCCTTGGTAATGACGGTGAAGTCATTTTCCCCAGTGCAAGCGTTTCCGTCTTCAGAAATGCTGGTGTGAGGAACATTGTACATGTCAGGGCCCGCTGGCATCATCTTCTTGAAGTTGACACTCTTGGAGCAGCTTCCCTGCTTAACGAAGCGGTTGTACTCCCCAGTAATGTCTGCAGGAAGGAATTGGCGACCCTGACGGGTGGGAGCGGCGATGGCAAGCACGGCGAGGCCGGCGAGAAGAATGGACTTCATGGCGAACATTTTGAGAGTGAAAGAAGACTATTTTAGAGCCTTTTCTGAACTAACTCTTCGTCTTCACGAGCTGGATGCTGTGAGACCAGGATGCTGAACGCAAGAATTGCAGCTGTTATATCTTGCGATTTGGTGCGAGGCTTTAAAGTGTAGGCCAAGAGTCTGACAGGAGAAAGCCCAGCTCAGGAATCGTCCTGATGCCTTCTGAAAAAGTGTCTTCTGATTGAGGCAAGGTACAGACACGTTCAGGGACAGTAAATCCGCGAAGAAGGCCTGGCCGAACAACGCGAGAAGTAGCTTTCTTGAACGGACCATAAATTGCCTTCGTTGCCCAGCCACGATGACAGTTGTCCGGGCCCTTCGAGCCCGGCAAAATTGGTAGAGTCCCTCTTTACAGCATTTCGAAGCCAGCAAAAACTTTGCTTCCAAAAGCTCAGAACTGCTCATCGCATGGCCACTACCATGTAAGTAAAGTAACGAGATTGTACCGAACAGAACCTTGTCGCTCCTGCATAATGTAACCGCCGAGCCCCCAATGATGAAAGACATCATCTGCAATCAAAAAGCGCCATGAGAGTAGATGGGCAGTGACGTGCGAGGGGCCAGCGTTCTTGCAGAGCATTACGAGGCTGTTTCAAAGTCAGTTTCGAAAGACCAGTGAGCCCTCTTTGGAGCTGTATGGATTACATGACTGGCTTCGATATGTGCGATGGCCTTCGGCATTGCCACAGTATCGCAGCAGCAGTTGAATTATTGAATCTCCCATTTCTAATGACAGGCGCTTTCTGTATCCTCAAAGGTTCCATGGAAGTCCGAAGAAGCAATCTGACGTCATCACTTCGGTGAGTGCAGCTGTAGTGACAACACCGTTGTAACCTTGTGTGGACCATTGCTTTCGTAAGCTGGCCTGCGTCAAATAGGACCCACTACATTTATAGCTGAATGATGTGTTCGGATGCATCTCACGACCACGTGTTACCGAAAGTCTTCCTTTGCAGACTTGATTTTCGATAAATTCTGCAGAGCAATACGGCCTCGCCCGAAACGTGTGTTCCAGCCATCTGTACGAGAGCCAAGCACCCGGAACTCGTTGCCTATCTATCTATGGACTCGAAACGCCTTTGCCATTGAAAGGGGCGCTTACATTTACTGTGCGGATGAACAACTTCTCTACCACTCTCTTAGAAGTTCTAACTAAGAACGCATAAGGCAGTATGGAAGAGGTCGTGCCAGTATGCGTACAATACGACCCTGTGCTTCATCGAAGTAGGTATTTATGTCCCGAATCCTCTTTCCACATTCGAACTTTCATCAGTGAGGTGAATATACTGCATGGGCATGAGGTGATGTAGACCGCGCCAATACATCGACGTTTTGAATTAGAAAATGCAGTCCTATGCTGGCGTAAGCTCAAACCAAGAATTCTCTTAAGAGAATGATCTTACTCTGGAGCTGGGATGATAGACCACTCAGATTTACCCTGCCTCCTTTTTACGACGTAACTACGTATAATAGTGAGTTTATTTGCGTCATAGCACCGCAAGCCCTCCCAGTTGATACGTAAATCTGCGTGCTGACTTGTCAGCAGTCCAAAACGAGTAAAGGCAGACTAGAATTGGATAATTCGAACGATAATCTACCAAATTCACGTAGTACCTGCCTGACTATATATTCCACAATCCTTCGCACGTCCGTATGACAGTGTTTCTTTATATGGTGCTCTAATTAGTTGACAAAATCGAGCTAAGCGACAGAGGGCAACAAAAATGTTATTAAAGACTAGCTAGGAAAGCAAAAGTCATTCTCATTGACTCTAAAAAAGAGGCGTGTTGGAACTCCTCAGGCGTGTCTTTGATTAAAGTTGTATGAAGCACCATCTGCATGATAGGCAGAGCCAAAAGCCGGCCCGTCGCCTGTCAAAAAATACACTCAATATGCGGTTTGACAGTTACTTGTAATGATTCCAGTCTGGAGCAACTGAAAAGAAATAAGTCAGATCTTTGCTCGTAGGCACAATGTACGTATATATGCATACATACCTATTCGAACGTACTTCATAACTGCAAATTGTCAACAAGGACGGCAAGCATCAAATTTTAACTCGCTTTGTGATTCTTAAACGACAGTAACTGGAAAACAAATCACGCACAAACTCACAGCTAAATGACAAAACGAAACACTGAGGTTCAAAACACAGTGGAAAATCGCAAACGTGAACAACAACTAAGCCTACATCTTTCTGCCCTCAACAAGGACGATGTGATAGCCCGAGGTGGACTTAAAGGGGGGCGTAACCTGTCCCGGTGGGGTGCCGAAGGCCTTTTCCTCAAAAGCGCCTACCATTTTCCCACGCGGGAACCATCCGAGGTTACCGCCGGAGTTGGCGGATGAGCACTCCGAATACTTGCGTGCAAGCTCTCCAAACTTGCCGGGGGGAATCTTGCCGGGGTACTGCTCCTTGAGGTCCTCATAGGCCTCATTGATTTTGCCGTATTTCTCGCAGAGAATATGACGTGCCTTGACGTGGTTGCAGGTCTTCATGTCGTCCTTGCCACCCTTGTTCCCCTTGGAACCGCTCGCGCCCGCTTTGCCTTTCCCGCCGCCGCCCTTCGCCGCTGCTGCGCCTCCTTTCTTTCCCATGGTGTTTTTTCTCTTGGGTGGTAAACTTCTGTATAATTTCTGCGAGGGGGGCTGAGTGAGGTCGAACTGAGCGGGACGGCTTGAAAGAGGAAGGCAGCAGAGCCAGGCCGAAGAACTTGCAAGTACGGGATGTTGCCAGACGAGATTTCTGGGTCTTGTTTTGTGCATGCAAAATGGATGGATGCTTTTCGTTTGTTGCATTGCTGGATTTTAGAGTGCCTCTTTTCATCTTTTTCAAAATAATTTCGTTCTTTTGGAAAATTTTGCCAATGCACAAACAATCTCGGCTACGAACCCACAATCACGCACGCAATGAGCGACACACATCCTTCGCCAACACCCTCTCCAATATCACATCCCCTGCATCCCCTTCATAGGATTCCCTCCGCCTCTTTCCCCTTGCGCCATGCTCCGCTCCCTCGCCTCACGCACGGCCGTTCTTTCCCGCCCGGTGAGAGGTCTGCAAGTGCGCACGCTTGTCTCGCGCGGCGGCCTTTCGATCGCCAACCAGAAGCCGGCCGCCACTCTCATTGACAGCGCTGTCAATGTCGTTGCGGGGGAGGTCGGCTTCGAACAACTAGAACCCCATGAGCTCACCCGCCTTCGCGCAGATCGCGAGAAGCAGCTCGATATTCGGAATTTCACCCTCAACTTTGGGCCTCAGCATCCGGTACGCGTTTATTGTCGAAACATCCGTGCGTAGGAAGTCGCGTCATTTTGTGGCCAGCATTAGTACTGATTTATGTTCTTTTCTTTTTCTTCTCTCTTGCGCGTCTTTTGTGCCTGTCTCTCTTGGGATAAAAGGGTAAGTTATCATATAGAAACTTCTCAGATACGGATAGAAAACCGAAGAGCACCGCGAGCGACATTCGCTAACCAAACATCTCGATGACAAATTCTGTTTCGCGAGCAGCTGCGCATGGCGTGTTACGCCTCGTTCTGGAACTTGACGGCGAGGTAGCCGTCAAGCTCGACCCTCATATCGGTCTTCTGCATCGCGGCACCGAAAAGCTCATCGAGCACAAGACCTATCTCCAGGCTCTGCCTTACTTTGATCGCTTGGACTACGTCTCTATGATGGCTCAAGAGCAATGTTACTCATTAGCCGTCGAAAAGCTTCTGAAAATCGAGGCCCCCTTGCGTGCGAAGTACATTCGTACAATGTTTGCAGAAATTACTCGCATTCTCAACCACCTGCTCGCTGTAGGATGTCATGTATGTTTACTTTTTGGTACTGCGTGGCCGATTGTAGTCTTCTTGTAAGTGGCAACTAACGTGAACGATCTGTTCTGTACGGTGCGCATCACAGGGTATGGATGTCGGTGCGTTAACTCCGTTCTTGTGGGCTTTCGAGGAGCGTGAGAAGCTCATGGAGTTCTACGAACGCGTTTCTGGAGCTCGATTGCATTCTGCCTATGTACGACCTGGTGGTGTTGTTTCGGATATCCCTCTCGGGCTCATGGATGACATCTACGCATTCTGCAAATCCTTTGTTTCTCGAATCGACGAAATGGAGGAAATGCTTACTGGAAACCGTATTTGGAAGCAGCGATTAGTTGACATTGGTGTGGTCACCGCTTCTGAAGCACTGGAGTGGGGATTCTCCGGCCCTATGCTGCGCGGCTCGGGCATTTCATGGGATTTACGGAAGGCACAACCATATGATGCGTATGAACATGTTGACTTCAAGATCCCAGTTGGCATCAACGGCGATTGCTATGATCGTTATCTTATCCGCGTTGAGGAAATGAGGCAGTCTTTGGACATTATCATCCAGTGCCTCAATCAAATGCCAGAGGGAGAAATCAAGGTCGATGATCGCAAGATCTCTCCACCATCACGTGAAAACATGAAGCAATCGATGGAGGCCTTGATTCATCATTTTAAGTTGTATTCAGAAGGCTACTCAGTGCCAGCTGGAGATACTTACACCGCAGTCGAAGCTCCAAAGGGCGAATTTGGAGTCTACCTTGTGTCCAACGGGACAAATCGCCCATACCGATGCGGTATTAGAGCTCCAGGGTTCGCGCATTTGTCAGCATTGAATATGATGGGAAAGGGGCATATGGTAGCTGATGCGGTAACAATCATCGGGACTCAAGATATCGTGTTGTACGTCACCGAACCCACCCTGAGCACTTCCCGCATGCGTTTCTGGTTTCGAAGCTAACATCATCATTTCAAACTTTGTGTAATTTATTCTTAATTGTGCGCGTGTTTTTCTCCAATACGTGATTTGCATTTTGCAGCGTAAGTTGAACCAGAGCTCTGAAAGTCACATACTTTGCCCCCAACTGTGCAACAGAAACTGACGGTTTTGGTTTTTTTCCTGGTGAACATGCGTCGTTGTTCTCACTCAAAACGTCCAATCCATACTTGAACAGGGAGTAAGTTGATTCATGGTCTACATCTATTCACGTTTCACGTTGAAGAGTTGCACAGTCATAAGTATTCTAACCTAGTCTCTCTCTGAACTCATGAAATGTCCTTTCTTTGAGCAGGAGGTTGATCGCTAAAAACTGCGCTGCTACAGGCAAGATTGCTGTCAACTCTTCTCAGAGCGCTTAATGCTGCAAAGGAGGATGCGATGGGTGGCGACACCTGCAACAATTTTTAAGAGCAATTTCCCGTCAAGAACGAAGCCCATTTGTAAAGTGTAACAGTCCCAGCACTAGTAAAGTATCTTAGCGAATAATTCCTTTGCATCGATACACCTGCTTGATAGACGGGCGCCACAGGTTGCCACACACCATGAAGGACACGACGGCTTCCTGCAATCCGGAATGGCCCGTCACAGCATTATCTGTTCATATGCTGCGGTAGGAAACGAGTTTGGGTCGAAGCATGTGTACCGTAGAAGAAGCGATGCGGATCCCTTTCATCCTCGAATGTGGAGGAGAAACAGGGATCTCACAAGCAGTTCAAACTGTTTTCTAGCACAAGCCCAGTCTGATGATCTGGGGTAAGATAAACTGTTAACAATGCCTTCACAATGAGGTCTCAAGACTGTCGCCAGACCAGGTGCGCATGTTCCGAACCAGTAGCGTTGGTTTCGAGGCTCTGGAACAGCGGCTCACTTAATCGATTCGTTTATATCTATCTAGAGAGCCATCGTTCATACCTTACATAGCATGCTCAATTTAGAGCAGGGACTACATCCACCTGGATTTTGTTTGTTTCGTTATATTGAGGAGGTAAAGGCGATTGAATATGCATAAGGCCCCGCCAGGTCAATGCTGGGTTCTTGACCGCTCTAAAGAGGAAAGTAGACGACACTACTAAGGCGTCTCAAGAAGATTCGCGGAATGGTGCAAAATTTGCGTCAGTGGATTGAGCATGGACATAGATTTGATGAAGGTACAATATGCCAGCTAGGCAAATTTGCGCAGTTTGGCTGGTTGACGTGTTGTCCGAAATATTCTTATTCATCCCTGAGTGCTATCTCAGATGCACGTGGCCCATGTCACGTTTCATCGCAGACAGGGTCCTTCTCCAAGCTTCTAATGACCGTGCAGTATACCCGGGGACGGTATTTAGTGTCACTGATACCATTTCCGTGATGGAAATATCGACCCCTAAACATATATTAATGTCAGTGATACTATTTCCGTACTTACACTATTTCAGTGAAAACGGTATTACTGTCACTGATACTCTGTATTGTCAAACGTAACAATGAATAGTGTAAGTTCGATCCCATTAGAGCCTACAGCATTTCTTTTCGTCCTACCAAAACCTCACATGCCTGCCTCTAATCACAAGTCCTGACGCTGGCCCCCGCTCCTCTTTCCTTATCACAGATGCCCCTTGTTACAACTCTGCATCGCCCAACCTTTTCCTATACACCAGACCAAAGACCGACCAGTTGACCTGTTCTTGGTACAAAACGCTTTTCAGTAATGAATGCCTGCGTATCTCCACTCCTGCGCACAAATTAGTGCTCCCGAAACGAACCGAACGAATCGCATACCACTACCATCCCTCCGGACCGGCAGTGAGATGGGTCCGGCTCAAAGGAAGGATTGTTCTATGTCTGGATTGATCCGTCGTCGTCCCGGGCTCTGGCATGTATTAGTGTCAGTGACACTATTTACGTGGTGACACTAATTTAGCGCTGACACTAAATACCGTCCCCGGTGTATAAGTACTCTACACGTACCTTCCCCAAACAACACGTTTCGTAATTATACATAGCTGGTCCTTCCAATCGACTCTTGTGAATTGTTATACATTGTTGGTCTTTCCAATCGACGTAGGTGAGGGCGCGGTGTAGTTCTTTGCATTTCAATGCCCTACGGTTCATACATTGTGCAACTGAGAAAACATTTCTTTTGAGAATCGTTGCATTTCAAATATACAAAAACCTTTGCCTTCAAAGTCTTGCAACAGGTGCGCTTAGATGACTGGGTGATGCTTTGCTTATATTCTTGAGCAAGCTTTGGAGTTTCCTTCCATCATGGTCCCAGGCAAAATGGTATCTGCGGTGCGCCTGGCCTCACGGGCCTCGTCGGAATATTTGCGGAATGCAGTCCGATCGATGAGTACGGCGAATGTCGGTTTCAGCAGGCCGCAATCAACTCCTATCGATAGTGCTATGCGCAAAGCAGCGGGGGAAGTCTCCTTACCCCAGTTGCAGCCAAATGAGCTTTTACGGTTCCGTCAAGATGCTGAGCATCAACAATCTTTGCGCACATTGGAGCTTAACTTTGGACCGCAACATCCGGCAGCACATGGAGTCATGCGACTTGTTCTTGAACTCGATGGAGAGGCTACCACTCGCCTTGACCCCCACATTGGACTATTACACAGGGGTACAGAGAAGCTAATCGAGCACAAGACATATTTGCAAGCTCTCCCCTATTTTGACCGGTTGGATTATTGGGCGCCAATGACCCAAGAGCAATGCTTTTCACTCGCGGTCGAGAAGCTACTGAAAATTGAGGTGGAAAGAGAGCGAAGTACATCAGGACGATGTTCGCTGAGATAACAAGAATTCAAAGTCATATCTTAGCGATTTCTGCGCATGTACGTAAGTCACAAGACATCAGGAAGAGTACAGACACAATGTTCATATATTCTAACCATTGCATCAAGTTTATATCGCTTTCGATGACGTGGACAGGGCTTAGATATTGGGGCAGTTACCCCGCTCTTGTGGTTGTTTGAAGAGCGAGAAAAACTTATGGAATTCTCAGAGCGCGTTTCCGGGGCACGGCTACACAGCTTTTACATCCGTCCGGGTGGAGTCGCCACAGACTTGCCCCTCGGGATTATGGATGATATTTACGACTTTTGCAAGGCTTTTCGTTCTCGCATTGATGAAATGGAGGAGCTTCTTACTTCAAACAGAATTTGGAAACAACGGTTAGTCGATATTGGTATTGTCAGTGCCGCTGAGGCTTTGGACAGGGGTTTCTCCGGTCCGATGTTAAGAGGATCTGGCGTGTCCTGGGACTTGCGGAAAGCCCAACCGTACGATGCATACGAAATGGTCGATTTTATGGTACCCGTAGGTATTAACGGGGATTGCTACGATAGATACCTTCTCAGAGTGGAAGAGATGAGGCAGTCTCTTAACATTATCATCCAGTGTTTAAACCAAATGCCGGAAGGTGAAGTGGGTGTCGACGACCGGAAGATCTATCCGCCGTCAAGAAAAAACATGAAACAATCTATGGAGTCGCTCATCCATCACTTTAAGTTATATTCGGAAGGTTTCGCCGTGCCGGCTGGTGATACGTATACTGCTATTGAATCACCGAGAGGAGAACTTGGGGTTTACTTGGTTTCAAATGGCACCAACAGGCCTTATCGATGTGCTATTCGCTCACCCGGATTTGCCCACTTGGCCGGCCTAAATACGATGGGAAAGGGCCACATGCTGGCAGACCTGGTGACTATTATCGGGACCCAAGATTTTGTATTGTACGTTGTATTGCAAACTCGGGGCCCAGACAGTGTTCATGTTTCAAAATTTCAGCACATTTGCTTTTGTCTGATACTCACTGACAATCTTTTCTTATATTCTGCTTCCCTATGCGCTTCTTTGGCTCTCTTTGTGCTTCCCGCAGTGTGAGTTGATCTACATCGAAGTGTCTCTTCTCTAAATATTCTGAAAGCAGGACATGGCGAAGATCTGAAACTAACAATTGTGTTTTGCTCCTCATCTTCTTGCACATAAAACTCTTTGCTTATTTCTAATCAGGGGGTATGTTTAATGCTCTTTTTTGGAAACGTTTGATCAGGTTTGCTTGTCACGAGGCAGAAAAGTACTGACACGCAAGCTCATTCTACGTATTCCTGTTTTCTTGTTTAGGAGGTCGATCGTTAGTACCGCAACAAGGACTCTGAGTACTTCAACGCAATCGTTTCAGTCTTCAGAAGCAGTCTCATTCTCGAATTTCCAGAGCCAGAGGCTTGATGTGCATTTCACGATTCAATTCTTATAGAAGTATAATGAGCGTTCTGTTTCACACATCTCTTTGATGCTGTGCAACTAAATTGCGTAGTCTACTTGTCTTGTAGGGGCACAATCATGAAGAAAGTATCTGTGCAGACAGAGGGCTAATGCTGAGTAAGGTTGGGCATGGCAATCACCTCGTCATCTCCACCGACATAGAAGGGACTGTGCAGAACACTTCTCCACCACAAATGCATCGCAACTGCAAGTTGTGCAATGAACACTGTACAATATGTAGTTTATGTCCCCCGGTTGCGACGGCCCATATTGGGTCAAGGCTATGATATTGGCTCGAGGCGACGCAGAGTGGCTGATATCAGAGCACGAGAGCAAATAAATGGCGCGAGAGCAAGACATTGTGAGTGTCGATTGGGCACACGATGCAGTCTCAAAATGGATCTAAAAAGGATAGACATGTAAAAAGATAGACTAGAGATGCAGGAGTACAGTCACTGGAGCAAGCTTCAACATGAGGATGACTGCGCAGGGTTGTTGGGAGGGGTACATCTTGAGATTTAATCTCCCTTGGGGTTCAAACACTTGTCACTAATCAAATCACTGTTCCCTAAAATAACTCATTATTATTGGCTCAATACAGCTGGTCGGAGATATTAGTTGCCCGTTGGATTGAGTGGAATATCCCATTTTCATACCTCTGGCGGACCCATCTTCGTAGCGAGGGGAGCTGCAATTTTCTCGAGAGACGAACACACTTTCTCATTCAGAATAAAACGACTAGGTCCGTTGGTGAACAACCCGCTACAACAAGAAAACAGTTCCCCATTTCACAACAGTGACACGGACTTAGTTTCGCTTTCTCTTACTCTCCACACCGCAAAATGGACACTGAAAAACTGCAACCGCGAGACGCCTTCGACACTGAGCATCTGACGACAAACAGCGGCGCTCCAGTTGACGACAGCCTCAATTCGTTGACCCTTGGTGAACGTGGTCCAGTTCTGTTGTCTGACTTCCACCTCGTCGAGAAGCTCGCCAACTTTGACCGCGAGGTAATTCCCGAGCGGCGAGTTCACGCGCGCGGCATCGCAGCAAAGGGTGTCTTCATCTGCACGAACGATGTATCCAAATACACCATGGCGGACCCGTTCACCGAAGTCGGAAAACGGACGCCGATGGCTGTCAGGTTTTCCACCGTTGTGCATTCGAGAGGCTCGCCGGAGACGCTTCGCGACCCGCGTGGGTTTGCGACCAAGTTTTATACCGGGAAAGGCAACTGGGATCTCGTGGGGAATTTAGAACCGGTGTTCTTCATTCGAGATGCTATGCAGTTTCCGGAGATGGTGCATGCTTTCAAACCGAGCCCGAAGACAGAGAAGCAGGAGTGGCATAGAATTTTAGACTTTCTGTCCTTTCATCCAGAGTGCATGCATATGATGACATGGCTGCTCGATGATGTGGGAATTCCAAAGAATTATACCACTATGAATGGCGCTGGTGTGCATACTTTTGTGATGATTAATGCCGCAGGGAAGGAGACATATGTTAAGTTCCACTGGATTTCCGAGCAAGGAGAACACAATTTATTGGACGATGAGGCCAAGCAGGTTGCCGGGGAGGACTTCAGTCATGCTACATCGCATCTTATCGACAGCATTGAGATGGGTAACTACCCGGCTTGGCGGCTGAAGATTCAAGTGATGGATCCGGCGACGGAACTGAACCATAGCTGGGGGGATCCTCTTGATCCTACTAAGACCTGGCCGGAGAAGGACTTTCCCATGATACAAGTCGGCCGTATGGTTCTCAATCAGAACATGGACAACCAGTTCTTACAGACTGAGAGCCTTGCCTTCTCTCCAGGAAATGTCATTCCAGGCATCACTTTCAGTCAAGACAAGTTGCTGCAAGGGCGCATATTCAGTTATGCTGACACGCAGCGGTACCGTCTGGGTGCAAATTACTTGCAAATTCCTATCAATGCCCCACGTTGTCCGTTCATGAACAGACAGTTTGACGGTGCTGGAGCGACAATGCACCGCAAAGAGGAGGTCAACTACTTCCCTAGCACGCTTCATAATGCAGAGACCGTTGGGGAATCGCATGTACCCAATGTGAAGCGGCCGGTGTCCGGGACGCAGACTCGCCGTGCACTCTCCAAGCAGAACAATTTTGGACAGGCAGGGGAGAGATGGCGGAGCTTCGATGAACCTAGGCGGCAGAGACTGGTGGTTCGCGCTGCTGAGAAGTTGAATGCGCCGAGGGTGCCGAGGCATCTCAAGAATACGTGGATTGAGTATTGGACGAAATGCGACCGTGACTTGGGGGCGAGAGTGGCGGCTCTAGTTAAGATGAGCAGCTTGTAATTGGCTCGAAGTGTGTAGTGCGTGTAGAGATGAGTAGAAAGTCGAGCTGCGAACAGGCATCGATAGCGTCGCGCGTATGTGCACTATTAAATGAGTGGGCTAGACGATTCCGTTTAAGTGCGGCGGTAAGATAGATGTGCGGTGTGGTTGGAAGAAGACGCAACAACATTGGTACAGGCAACTTCGAAGCGCAATGGAGACTGATACAGTCACCAGAGCGGAAACCATTCCGAGGATAATATTGCCACCAAGCGAACCACGAGTGTCTCAGAGGGAGGAGAAGACGTGGATTATAAGGTGGCAGCGACGTGGGTGTTCTGCTGAGAAGTAGGAAAGAGGAAATAGTTTTAGAGTTGATGGCAATTTGGCTGCTCTACTTCCCGAGCAGACGTTCATCCTGAAACGGTGACATCTCTGACACGAGGCTCTGTGATGATCGGTACGGAAAGCAGTGCAGACAGGTTGCGGTGAATTGAAATTGATGGCAATGTTGGGAAGTCGGCCGGGCGCCGTGGACGAAGGCTTCCGTGACCAAGGCGTTGAGGAAGAAGGGATGTCGTGTAAGAAGTAATGCACGTCCTCGCGAACCGCTTTTTCCTCGCACACAGTTGTCACAGAAGATCCTTCGAACACGACGGGGCCTACCGGCGGGGCCTTCAGACATTGGTGTCGATGCACCGACGGCGACGGCTGTGGCGTTTGAGGTTGGCGTGGAAGAATTTCACTTGAAAGCATTTGGAATTATGCAATATTTTGCATAATCTGACTGACAAATACTACTGTACCCTTGGGTACCGTATCCCCAACCCGTGACCCTCGGACTGGTCCACTTCCCGAACGTGTCACCCCCCCAGAGCCATACATTTAGCCAAAAGAATTGCATAGCGCGCTTGTACCGTACCCAAGGGTACGGTTGTTCCGTCAATCCCCACGAACAATAGCTCCTCCCTTACACGCACACTCTCCCGCGCACCAAGTCCCAAACACGCAACATGCAGCAACATGCAAAAAAACATTCGGCACCGGGGATTCCCGAGTGATCCCTCACCTCAGTACTAGCCCGGCCTGAAGCGACTTGACTTCCGAGTTCGGGATGGGATCGGGTACATGTCGACTTAGTATGGCCGAATGTACAGGTTGTGCCTCTGTGACACACTATATACCAGATCAAAACCAGATCAAAGCCACATCGGCCACCCCTGATGCATTGATAAAATTCCCCCCCCCCCCCCCTTGATTAGCCTACCTACACTGAGCTCTCTCTCCCGCCGCGATGCCGAAGAAGACGAACGAGTTGCGACCTCCGGCGTTGTCGCCGCCCTCCACCGCTGCCCTCGCCGCGCCGCCGTTGTCGGCGCCGGCGCCCCGCGTCCCGCCGCCCACCACTGCAGCCCCGAACCGCGCGATGACTGACTTGCGCTCTCCGCGGTTG